GAACAAAACTAAAGTTTTGATTGCAAAATCTGATTACTGGTGATTTAAGAAATTAAGATTCAATACACAGGACTACTGATTCAGAACATCCTTCAATTTGCAAACTAAACAAATCCAATGCGCCAAAAGAGTGAAGAAATATGAAAATTCAGAATGTCACTTTTCTGACTAATTCCACTTTAAAAGGATTAGTTCCGATTGTTTGCTATTGCTCAAGTGAAATGACAAGCAGGGAAGTTTCAGAAAATTTCTTATTTTGCAAACTCATATATATCTGACTTGCCGTTGTCACGTAGCTAGATGGTTCAAATACTACAATTTGTACATATAACTACTGTTGGGCATAAAATTTTGCATGTCAAATTATGTCGGGGGAGTCCTCTTAAAAATCAGTTCCCCAACTATGACATTTATTTTGATTTTCCATTGTACTATAAGCAATACTGACAGTGTTGTGGGCAGTGCCAGCATTTACACTCAGTAATACTAAGGCTAGCAAAGTAAAGTGAGATAATCTAAATTAGAATACTTGAGAGTATGTGTAAACGGGATTACATTCCCATTTTACCATTATGGAGGTTTCTGTTAATAATCCATTATTTATCTGATTCATTAATACTCTGTGAAATATTTAAAAAATGTTTGAGGGGGGATATTCACAGGCTTTAAAGCTTTTAAATAATGAACGTGGTATTGCATTATTTCTGTCAGTCATACATTGTATGTAAAGAATAAGCAATTTCACTTCAACCACAAATCTTAATTAGGGATATATATCTAAAGATGATTATTACCACGGCCAAAGACCACTTACCTCATGCAAATAATCTTGTTGACTGACATCTCCCATGTGCTTTGTGAGAGAGTTTCAACCCCCTTATCTTTATGGCATGATTCACCTCCTGTGAAGTCACTGCTGACACCTCTATTACACTTACCCACCTCTTACCATAACGGTACCCGCCATGGCTCTCAGCACATGTTCTGCCTTTGAAACTGGAATCTAAAGTTATCGATATACTGTAGCTTTAACAGTATTTGACATGCTGAATTTTAACTGTGAACAGTGTGAACTACTTTACTTTATTGTACAAAAAATAAAATATTTAGACCGACAAGCATTTAACTGTGCACTGAAAGATGGGTGTTATGCAGAAGAATCAGGCTGTTGCTTTCAGATGCTTACAAGTACTGATTTTATTACAGTGTTTTTCTCTGTTTCTGATTAATAATCTCACATCATTATTGAGATCACATCCTCACTACCTTGCCCCAAGGGAATTTTCAAAAGGTTCAGAAGAGTAAAGTGGCAAGATCCCGCCGATTTCTAATTCCATGTTGCCTGCACTAACTCTGCAGGCTACTGGACTTCTCCCTCCCCTGCACTCCCATGCCTGGACCTGATCTCACATGACCACAAGCATTTATTTTACTCACACCTAGGGGCCCTTCACCTGACCCAATACTGGATTTACAATGGCACCATTGTGGCTAGCCCTCAGCTACACTGCAGGCTCTCTGAGTTTCTGTGCATATAAATATGGATGATGTGTTGGAACTGGTTTTTTGGCTGGCTGAAGGGATGTACCTCCCTTCTGCAGCTGGAGGGATGTCTTCTGCAGAAGGAACCACCCTAAATTGTGGATAACAAATCTAAATCCAGCAGGGAAGATTAGATGACATCAACCCTTCGGGGAAAGGTCTTTTTCTTTTGTATGACTGTACAGTAGCATCAGCAAGTACACCGTACAGTGCAGCCCCAATTCTGATGTATGACCCAGTTAAGACAAGCCATCCTACTTTGCATATTCAACAGCCCTAGCAATTTCACTTGTGCACCCACTGCATTGCTTCCCATGACTCATGATTAGGAAGGCGTTAGGCTTCTTCAGAAATGACAAGGGAAAAAGCAAAGAGAAGTTACAAGTGTGTTTGTTGGACACTGCAGAAGGTTAGAAAACCCCTCTCTCCTTCTGCTAATTTGCAAAGCCAGAATGCCGCCAAGTCATCTTAAAGCCGGCTGAAGTGTGCGGGGTTCGAAGAGCAAAGCTGCTCTGCTGGAATGAAGTGCCCATGCTGCAGCAAAGAAGCTGGGAACCTTCATCTTTGAGGACAAGTGGGCAACTGCACAGTTTGGGAGTCCTGTAGTGGCTGGAACCTGCGTCCCTCACTCCCAACCTCCAGATTAAAGAGCAAGTTGTGATTTTTCCCCACCCTTCTCAGAGCTGCCCACTCCTAAGGGACCAGTCCCTCTTGTGACCCACCACTTGCTGCCAGGCAGGATGGGAAAAAGAGGCAAGAACCACCCCTTCAGTCCCATTTCTTAATGCACTCAAGGGAAGTGCTTTTACCTGTACCCACTAGGGCAGCATTTGAACCCCATGCCAGAAGCCTAGGAACCACGGAGGGCTGAGAAGTGCTGGGCACCTGAAGGTGAAATACTGTAGCAAGTTGCTCCTGAAAGGTTTCAGGTGTACATCAAGAACCAGCTACATAAAAAGTGCCTGAGAAGGCAGGTTGGGGGATCTAGCTCCAGGTCTGATACTCAGAGAACTGGCTCCTTTGCCACATTTTCGAAGGTGCCTAAGGAGCGTCCCGATTTTCAGCGGCTCCGCGCCCCCGGACTGAGCGTGAGGGCTGGCCCGGGGGAGAAATTGCCGGCTTGTGCTTGGCATGCTCCCGCTGCCTTCCCTCCGCTACAAAAACTTCCCAGCATCACCCACCCGCCCCCGGGCCAGCCCCTGCCCCGCCCCCC